GGAGCACCGCTCACCTCGCGCAGAGGCGCCCTGGGACTGGGCGGAGGCAACCGCGGACCAGGGCATCTGTGTTCCACGCCCCCTAGCGCGTCACTTTTTGAGGGTTGACTTTCACGGTATGTGAATTTTGCTTAAAAAAAAAAAGTCCAGCAGGAGCTGGCCTGTGGCGACGGCCGCCGCAGGTGCCAGCAAGCACTGCCCCTCCGCGCCCAGGCGTCAGGCCGGAGCCCTGCCCGCTATCCCAGCCTGGCCCGAGTCCAGCCCAGTGTCGGCAGGGCTGTGCTCCCTCCGGAGAGGGTCCTCCTAGGCCGCCTGCTCCACGGCCAGCTGCAGCCCCGGCCCGGGCCCCATCTCTGTCCTGTGGCCCGTGAGGACACGGCCCCCTGGGGCCCTCAGCACCCAGGCCACAGCGGCCCAGAAGCATCCTGTGCAGAGCAGAAGCCAGGGGGAGTGGAAATCAGGGTGGCCCAGCCAGGGTGGACCGCAGCCCCGCTCGCCCCAAAGCCCCACCTACACGTCTAAACGGGCTGTTCTGTCCGCGAGAAGGGGTCACCAGCTTCCAGCCCAGGCACTGGGCATGCCGGGCGGACAGGGAACAGGGTGGGAGCGACCCCAGGGCGGGAGGCCCTGGCGCAGGGGCCGGGTCTGGGGTCCCGAGGTCGTGTGAGAGGCGCACAGCTGCCAGAGATCCCCTTGGACATGGGCACCCCCATGGCGGATCGGCGGACCCCATCCAGAGCGCGTGGGACATAAGGGGCGGCCTGCACCACATGCCCCAACAGGCACGAAGTCAAGGCGTGGTCAAGTAAAAGCAAAGCAAAACACAAAACCTGAGGCCGCTGAGCAGTGAAGGGCGTGTCCCAGGTAAAGCTGGGGGGGTGCAAAGGGGGGATAGTAGGGTGGCAGCGGGGAGACTGAGACACCGGCACAGAAAATGCGAGACCCATGGACACTGCCCGGAGGGGCTTCCTGCCGCTGGCCGCGGCCGGGGGCTGGGGCTAGGGTGCAGCCCACACCCCCGATCCACACCGCACCAGCGGCGGGCGCTGACAGCATGACGCCCCAAATCAGGAACATGCACAGCAGCTGGGGGGGCTGGGCGTGGCCCCGCGGAGGCGGTGGGGCGCGAGGGCAGAGGTCGCTGACTCACAGCTGGACGCTGGGCAGCCCTCCTGGCAGCAGCTGAGGCCCATGCCCAGCCAGAGGACAGCTGCTTCCTGGCCCCTCTCCCTCCAGGCAGACGCGTTTCCAGACCAAATAAGGCTGCAGCTCTCGCTGGCACGGGACACAGCTCCCTGTAGGTGGCAGGCCTGAAGCGCCGAGGCGGGGGGGCCCCGCAGTCCCGGTAACCTCCAACACCCCAGGTAAACACAGGAGGGCGGCAGGCTGGCCGCTGCCCCGCCGGCCCCGCCCTGCCCCACCAGCCCGCCCCCTCCTCCCGGCTCCCGCCCACGTTTCTGGGGGCTGGAGGCAGCGAGCTTGGTGGGTGGACAGCACCTCACAGCTCCCAGTCTCCCACTTTACGGCGGTGGCGTTGGAAGAAACTGAGGCGCCCAGTCGCGGGCTGGTCTGGGTGAGCTCCAGGCTGCAAGCAGCTCCCTCCCGCCCGGTTTCTCCCCAGCAGAAAAGGCAGCCCCGCCCCAGGGCGGAGGGGGCTGTCTGACTCGCCTGGCGGCTGGGGGGCTTGGCTTGGCACGTTTTCCCTCCCCATTTTCTCGGGCTCCCTGTCCAGCCAAAGTGAGGACGTTTCTCACGCAACCAGCTACACGCCCCTAGCGAGGCCCCCCGGTGAGATGGAAACTGTGAGAGTTCTGCGATGTGCTCAAGCCAGCTTGAGCGAGGGCGGCGGGTGGGGGCCCTGGCAGGGCGGGGCGGGGCGGGGGCTGCCGGCCTGAGAGCCGGCTCTGGCCGCAGTGACCCCGCCCGAAGCTGGCCGGGCCGCGGCCACGGTCCTCTGACCGGAGCTGGAGGATCGCGGCCCGTGCCCGGGAGATGGGGCGGCGGTTCCATCACCACGCCCTCCACAAGCAGCCACCAGGGGCCCGACGCGCCTCCCAGCGCCTGGCCACCAGCTGTCCATGCCCCCGCCGGCCCGGTGTCCTGAGATGGACTCTAACCACGACGGGAGCGGGCAGCCCCACCCGCACAGGCCCCTCGGGAAGAACCCCCGCCCCAGAGCCCCGTGCCCGGAGCAGGCAAGGCGGGGGTGGGGAGGGCACACGGTGGGCATCGGGCTGGGCAGCAGATGAGGCGCCCAGCCCCGAGGGTGGCATGAGAGGACGTCAGAGTAGAGCCTCGAGAGGGAGCGCTGCACCAGCCAGGCCAGAGGTCCAGGGCGCTGCCTGACAGGGACCAGCTCGACCACCACCGACTACGGGCACACGGGGCCGGGGCCGGAGGCAGCCGGCACCAACCCTGGTGCTGGGGAGGGAGCGGGCGCCGAGGCCTGGCTCGGGTGCGGAGGGAGGGCCTGGGCGGAGCAGAGGGCTGGCAGCCGCTGGGGCCCACCCCCCAGCTCCCCATGGGTCTCCCCTCGAGCGCTCATCTGGAGCTTCTGTGGGCAGGACGGGCACGCGCACCCCACCCACCCCCGGACCGGCATGACGGGAGGTGCCAGCCGCCCTGAGCCGGGGGAGGGGGCACCGGCGCGGGAGGACGCTCGTTCAGACACCAGGCGGCTTGCTGTGGCTGCGCGCAGGGCCTTCTATTTGGCTCTTGAACACCCTGAAGCCTGCACAGCGGCGAGCCGAGGCTGCCCAGCACACCCTGAGGGTCTCTGGTCTGCGGCAGGGGTGGTGGCCGGGGGAGGGCACCTGGGCGGCACCTGTGGACCCAACGGCCACTCGGCTCACTGCGGCCCGGCTCCGGCGAGGACGGGCTGCGCCCCCGGGAGGGAGCTGAGCCCCCAGGGAACAGGAGACAGTCGGGAGGCCGGGAGCCCCCCCAGCAAGGCGACTCTGTGGAGCCTGCCAGGCCTGGCCCGGGGACGAGCCCTCGGGGCCGACGCAGCCCGCCTCCCTGACGGCGCCTGGCAGCGGGCTCCGGCACCGGCAGCGCCCGGCTGCCCACCGGGCTGGGCTCGCTGTCACGGGGAGTGGCCCTGCCTGCCCGGCACACTGTCCACGGGCTCTGGGCCCTCACTTCTCCTTCTCCTTCCGTCTGCTCTTCCTCTGGCTGGTCAGTTCGTCCAGCTTCTTACCCAGCCTCCTCTGCAGCTGGGCCCGCTTGGCTGGGTCCAGGGACCGGTCCTTGGTCCCACTGCCCGGGTAGAGGACCCCTTCCCGGCTCAGCCGCTGCCGGGCGAGAGCACGAGCCTTCTCGCCGCAGCCGTGGACCTGGGACATGCGACAGTCAGGACCACATGCCCAGCGGGGGGAGGGGCGGAGGCTGGGCACCCACACCCACGCCTCCCCCCCCCCGACCTGGGCTGGGCCTGGCCCATGCCGAGCGCCCTGACGGACTGAGTCCCACAGGCCCAGCAGGGGCAGGTCGGGCCCGGGACCCCCAAGGCGGGTCATTTCTCCTCTGGGCAGGAGTGACCATCCTTCAACGACCCAAGGCCAGGCCCGAGGGAGGTGCCCAACCTGTGCTGGCCGCCAGGAGAAACTGGACAGCCCCACGGCACCTCTGGGGCACCGCTGCTGCCAGGCTGGCCCTCGCAGCCCGGCTCGCCCAGCCCAGCCGCCACCCCCACTCCAGGCTGGACAGAGCCCCGCCCCCCGCACCTCGGGCAGGTGGTGGCTGAGGCAGTAGCGGCGGCCGCAGTGCGGGCAGAGCTGGCCCAGGGTGGCCACGCTGGCCGAGCAGCTGGCGAGGCCGCAGGTGTTATCCGCCTTCACGGCAGCTGAGACCAGGGCGTCGAAGTCCAGCTCGGCGGGCAGGTCCAGGGCAGCCGGTCCTGGCGGGCACAGGTGGTGAGATCCCCGCCAGAGCGCTGTGCCCTCCCACTTGGGGTGTCCACACTTGTCCCCGCGCTCGGGAGTCCGACAGCCGCTGGGAGCCAGCCCCGGGGTCCCCGAGCCCTCGGAAGGTTTCCGCGAGAGGCGCTGCTCAGGGCAAGTGTCAAACAGCCCAGAACAGCCTGCGCACGGGCGGGGCCTCGGGGCAGGCCGCCTGCGGCGTGGGGTGGCCCGCGGAGGCGGCAGAGGGGCAGGGACACGGAGCCGCCCTCCGCACGGCTCTCCCCAGGACTGGGAGAAGGTGGGACGCGAGGCGAGCTGAACCGGCTGGCAAGAGCCCCAGCAAGGCCCGGCCGAGACCAGGACTCGGGGCTGTGTGCCAGGGGCCGTCCCGGGGAGGGCAGGGGGGGACAGGGCCCAG